GTCAGTTCCAGGATGTGTTCAGTGAGACCCCGGGTAGAACCACCGTCATCGAACACGAGGTCTGCACACCACCAGGAGTCGTAGTCCGGCAGCGGCCCTACCGGATACCGGAAGCTCGCCGGCCGGCTATAGAGGAGGAAGTCAAGAAGATGCTCCAACTAGGAATCATCGAGCCCTCCCGTAGCCCATGGGCCAGCCCCATCGTGATGGTTCCAAAGCCGGACAACACCCTCCGGTTCTGTAATGACTTCAGGAAGGTCAATCAAGTCTCCACCTTCGACAGCTATCCCATGCCGTGGGTGGATGAGCTCTTGGACCGGCTGGGCAAGGCTCGCTACATCAGCACCTTGGACCTCACCAAAGGATATTGGCAGGTGCCCCTCTCCCCGGAGTCCCGGGAGAAGACAGCCTTTAGCACTCCCAATGGCCACTGGCATTACCGGGTGCTACCCTTCTGCCTACACGGGGCACCAGCCAAGTTCCAGCAGTTGATGGACATCTTGCTCCGGCCCCACCAAGCCTACGCCACAGCCTACCTGGATGATGTCGTTATCCACTCTGAGGGCTGGGAGACTCACCTGGAGCGTCTAAGGAGGGTGTTGACGGAGCTCCGGTGGGCTGGCCTGATGGCCAACCCCAAGAAGTGCCACCTCGGCCTCACCGAAGCAAAATACCTGGGGTACAAGATCGGAAGAGGGCTCATCATGCCCCAGGACAAGAAGGTCGAGGCGGTATAGAAGTTCCCACGTCCCGCCAACAGGATGTTGTACAACAATACGCAGGTACGAGCCTTTTTGGGGTTGGCGGGCTACTACCGGTGTTTCATCCCTAACTTCTACTCTATAGCCTGCTCCCTGTCAGACCTTACCAGGAAGGGGCAGCCGGAGAGGATAGACTGGACTCCCGAGACCAAAGCCGCCTTCCAGGCCCTCAAGACGGCCCTGACGTCCTCCCCGGTTCTGCATGCACCAGACTTCGACTTCAGTCCTCTCCCAGCTCCGGGATGGAAAGGAACACCCCATAGTCTACATCAGCTGGAAACTTTCCCCCGCGGAGACCAGGTATGCCACCCTGGAGAAAGAGGCCCTGGCCATAAAGTGGGCAGTCCTGGAGTTAAAATATTATCTTTGGGGCCACCGATTCACCCTCGTCACCGACCATGCGCCCCTGCAATGGATGTCCAGGCGAAGGACACAAACGCCCGGGTGACACGGTGGTTCCTTGCACTCCAGGACTTCTGCTTCCAGGTACAACATCGGGCCGGGGCCGATCACGGGAATGCGGATGGTCTCTACGGGGCTGGTCCGGTTGGGCAGATCGAACACGAGGTCTGCACACCACCAGGAGTCGTAGTCCGGCAGCGGCCCTACCGGATACCGGAAGCTCGCCGGCCGGCTATAGAGGAGGAAGTCAAGAAGATGCTCCAACTAGGAATCATCGAGCCCTCCCGTAGCCCATGGGCCAGCCCCATCGTGATGGTTCCAAAGCCGGACAACACCCTCCGGTTCTGTAACGACTTCAGGAAGGTCAATCAAGTCTCC